GCCTCGCGTCACTGCTTTCATTACGATATGCTCTTAGATGTGGCCGTCTAGAAATTCGTCTAGGCGGCCCATTTCCCACTGAAACCGCTTCTGACGGTGCTTGGCCATAGATAGCGTAATCTAGAAACAAGTTAGTGAGTTAAAATCTCCGAAATACACAGAAAACCTCATCTTGAAATGATGCTTCTAGTCATGTGTAAATGACAGAACTGTCTGTTTCATCGCCTTTCATCTGTTCATATATCTCGAGGATAGGAAGGGCTACCAAGAAGCCGTCGACGTGATTCGTGGACCTAAATCTGGGCTCATATCAAGTATAAACGACTGCTTACATCAATCACAGAACCCCCCACACATGCAGTAGTGGTAACCAACCTGATTTTGAAACGGTTTGCGGACGGGAGGTAGCGTATGAAAATCAAGGTACGCTTGGTTCCATTGAACCCACGACAATAACTAGAGATGGCTCGTTATAGTATAATATGGTGCGACAATTGCTCTTGACTAACGCACATACCGCTTGAGGTCTTCAATTCTTTTCCATAGACTTTCTTGTTATCTGGCGTTCTTTTATGCAGATCGGGCACAACGTCCTGTGCAAGTGTGTTTGTTAGATAACCCTGTGGGGTAGTGAATCGCATGTGATCCAATGTTATAAAGGTCCACGAAAACTGGGAGGCCGTGTTGTGGCCAGTCCCTGTCAGCGAAAACTGACGTCCAGTTTCAATGGTTCTCATTGGTCGATAATCAACAGTGGCGAAGGATCAAGAAGAAAAGGCGATGCCGAAGACCGATCCAGGCTAACGGGCTCATCAAGAGACTGAGCCATCGAAATGTCCAAGATCCAACGACCAGACTCAAGGGCACGTGAAACAACTAAAGCTCCAAGGCCAAGAAAAGACTTGCGACTCGTCGGACCAACGGGAGTTCCATAACGGACGCGTTTATACTTGATATTTGTATATGACTATAGGGAACACTAATAATTAGGTCAACCCATAAGTGTAAATATAGCAGAACAGATTTTCCTATCAACCTCAAGAGTCAAGTCTGACCACTCAGCGGTAAGTTCTGTGTGGTGTAGTGTCGTACTTGGTAGCTAGGATTATGCTTGTCGGTGTGCACACGAACTAGTGTTGTGTGTTGTACGCCCGTGGCAAAGCCAAGAGATTTGGCAGTGTGTATTGGTTATTAGGGCGAATCTTCTCCATTGAGATCCTGCCATACATTGGGAGACGGACCGACAATATGCGAGGCTTCGCCATACATTGGGAGACAAGGCTTCATCATTCTTATTAATCCAGCGCGGAATAAACCCCGGCACCCACGTAGAGAGCCGTGTAAGGACAGTACGCTTTCGCTGTTGGGACTACGTGGTAAATTGAGTGTGTATGGGCATCCTAGTTTTGCCCGTGGCTTGAATTGTCGAGGTTTATGGGGTTGACCTGTGGGAACCACAGTACACATAAACATGATCAACCCGGTGCAAGGGATCGTACTAAGACATTCGGGTTCTTGTGTTGACCCCAAATAAGCCTACTGTGTCTTCGTGACGTAGTAGGGGGAGGTGTATCTATATTTGGGACGTATTCCGATACAACAACAACACCCAAAATATTCGGACTAAACACACATTAACAGGCTTGTGCGTGAATCTGGGGTTAGCATGAACATTATATGAGTCCTTCTCCTCTTCGCTTTGACCACCTCTTTCTGTATGTTAAAGTGGCTCATCGGCTTGGTTTAAACCTTTATCACCACTGCTGCTGTTGTAGCCCATGGTGTCCTCCGTCAAGACATCGCTGTTATTGCCATCTTCAAAATCCTCCGATGCCATAGCGAATTTTTCTTCTCGTCCCATGAAAATCGAAAGTGGTTCTCATACTTTCGCGAACTCAAACAAAATCGAAGATGCCATATATCGTTATGCACAACAGCAATTTAGTATGACCAATCTACAACCATCAGTAAAAAATGGCGGTTCTTTTTAGAAAGAAGAACGCCGACTTGTTCCACTCGTAAGACCATTTGCGAGTGCAGAAAGAGGGTGAATTGGGTGGTGGTGGCAAAGAAGACGAAGGCTCGTACATGGTCTCCATCAAAGCTCCGACATCGTCTGAAGACGCTCAAGAGAAAATACGGAAACAATATCCTAGCTTTCCCTCGCCATTTTTCGCTAAGCTGCTTCCCATGCGTCCCAGTGTGAAAGTCACAACCAAAGTATGTTTCTGCTCAATTTTGAAGTGGTAGACCTTCGCCCCCCGCACCTGCCATTTCTCCTTTTACAGCATAAAAATCATACCATGTAACGGATGCCCTATTTCGCCTGGGACGCAGATGCGACGTGCTCGTGACCAAGCGTCACCTGAATGTTGGAGGAATTACAAAGGAAGCGATATCGAAGTTCATTGAGGTAGCAAAATTCGAGGACAATGATGGGTTTCTCGAAGTTGGATCCGGTGTTAGAAATGTTTTTGTTCAAGTTGCGTTACAAATCCGTGCCGCCCGAGCAATTGGAAATAAAATCCGAAGTAGTCTGGCTACGAAACAATGGAATTGATCACGGATGCTTCTACGAGGTTCTCTCCCTTTCTCAAGATCAGTGCATATGAAGCCGACGTCAGAAAGATTTCAAGAGACATGAAGTACGTTGAACCAACTTCGTTGGCTGAACCTGACATCCTCATCCGATCTACGTCAACTTTGGTTTGCCACGATGTTGTATTTGATGGTGTTATTCTAGCTGTTCGGGATTTGTGCGTGTTTTGACCTAGACTTCGTCTAGGTTGCTCTAATGACTTCAGTCTGCCCGAGGCATCGTTCCTCGTCCCTCAACCCGTTTTGCAAGATATGGTAATTGACTACGACATTGACGGGCCCCATGACGTATAACAGTACACTACGACATTTATATATGTACACACCTCGGGTGTAGTGAGAGACAACGTTAGATCTAAAATATATTTCAATATTAGGTTATAATATTAACATAAATTAAAGTCATCAGAACATGTACACGTTGACAGGACGTTGGGTTATACATATCGAAATTAGTATGCAAGATATCAGCGACGAAACCGATGAGGCACACAGTGATAATTGTAATTTACAGATGGCTGGATAATCAAGATATTACCCGGACTGTCACGTAATAAAAGCTTTTTCGCAGCTAGCGTCAGGGCACAGCGGCCACGGCGCACGATGAGCGGTTATGAAGAGCTTGTCTGATGAATCGTCCAGGCCTTCCAAAAAAGTGGTGGAAAGAAGCAGTTTGTTCGAGGATATCCCCCAGGTTTGCTTATAATTATGAGGGGCTTGTCTGGAAGAGGAAGATGAGTGTGCCGAACGAGATCAAGATACATGCAAAGGACGTGTACAACATGACTACTATTATCTGTTCACCGGATAATTTTTTCATTGGAGTTGGTGATTTTACCAACAGACTCAACGAAACTCCCGGCCAGTGCTACAATATATGCACCACCGCTTTGAACTGCCTCCCAAGGGAAGGACCAAATATTATTATCGTTGAAAACACCAGCATCAGGACAGAGCTCTACGACCGATATTACAGACTGCTCAGATACCCTGACATGGTGGTGACCGTGACATTTGAATGTCCTGGTGGCCCTTGCGAAGCTACCAAGTTGTATCGCCGTTCCAAGATGGCTGCAAAATTGTCTTCACAGAGCGCTTTCCAGGGTTAAAATCAAAAATATGGCGCTGCACCAGCAGGATGCGTCGGTACCGACGCATCCTGATGGTGCAACGATTCTATTGAATTGAATATGTAAACATCTGAAGTGCTCTACTGTTCCGCATTGACTGCTGTTCTCATCCGGTTGCCAGCGTTCAGATGTTTACATATTCAATTCAATAGAATCGTGATTGTGGACGTCAGCGTTCAGATTTTATAGTAAGAATCGTGACTGTGTCGCCAACATGTGTTTAACTACCCGGACTCCATAACCCCTCTTGTATACGCGGCTTTATTTTTCCTAGCGCAGCCCTTATTGAAACGCACCAATCCTGGAGTAGCGTTGGTGGTTCATGGTGTCGACATTTTTGTCTGTTTAGCTACCATCATGAACCAATTCGTTTCTTTCCTTCCAAAAACCCCAATTCGTTTTTTCATTAACACATACGCAGTGCTGGCATTCTTATAGACTTTATCCACTTCATTCAAAATGATTTCAGTTTTGCGATGCATTGGCATCGGAGAATATGCAGAAAAATATTAACCAACATCAGGATTTAGCTAGATGTAAATAGCCAACCGATAAACAACATACCACTCATGACCACCCCGCAATCGGGGCAATTGCTTTCTCCGTTACACCGCAAAGAGCATATGACATGAGACATACGGTACAACCGCGTAGCTATTATTCCACAAGGCTTTTATCGTAATTGAGTATCGTCATACTACTTATAGGTAACTGACACGTCTCTTCATGTACTTGTTCTGCTGCTCTTTTCTCCTCGGTATTTATATCACATCTTTTCTGAACCTCTCTCATCTCATGAGCGTATCCATTCAAGGGCAATTGGTTGGCGAGAGATGTTTTCTGTCTCCAAATCTCTCGTATCTTCTTTTCATTAAGCGACCCCACCGACTCTGGCACCAATCGGATTTAATAACTTCAATTCTTCGTCCTTGTTTTCCAGCGCAAACCTCAAGCTACTTCAATTTTCCTTCTCACCTTGTAATTATTGTCGCATTTTCCTTAACTTCTTCACCAAATCAGCATAAATATTTACCTCTCGCTCCGCATTTTTTCTACTCCTCCATCTGTTCTTTTATCTCTTGTAGATTTTCTATCATGCCATATTTTCATCGTCTTCTTCTTCTGTGTGTTTTTCTCCTTAGTCAAACTTGACTTCAACTCCTCATAATCTTCTGAATCTGAGCTTTGGGCCTAACTTGAAGAAAATTGAAATATGGTAGAAGCGAGATCTGTTGAACGACATGTGCGTCGCGTCTATGTCGCAAAACGGACATGGATCCGCCACCTATCGTTGAAGATCAACAAGACGTGTCGGATCTGGACTTCATGTGGGACTCAGATCAAGATTATGACAAATGTGTAGACAATCATGATGGGAGCGACCTGTACGCGTAAGATGTCCCCGTTCAGATGGCGTACTACCTGAAGACCCCGTGACGACGGAAGATGTGAAGATTGAGGACAGTCAGCTATGTGGATCTGATAATCTGACACCAGGAGAAATCAATCGACTTCGCCCAAAGATCAGGAAGTTCCGACACCTCTCGATCACCAAAGGCGATTCCCTTCCGCCGGCCACCAGCGGTGTTGTATGTGATATTGTCGTCGGAGGAGCGAGACCTGTCACCCCGACGTGTCGTAAGTTGCTGATCTAGTTCAGAGGGAAGCTGGTAGACTTCATCAAAGGTTTATTGTCCGCCAAGATGATCAGTTACTCGAGATCACCGTGGGCTTCACCAATCGTGGTGATAATCAAGAAAAATGGAGTGAATGTAAGGTTAGGTATTGACCATTTGCTATTTAACTGTTTAACTCAGTTGACGGTCTATCCAATGACCTTGATTAACGACTTACTTGACTATCTAGAGTCGACATTTTGGTACTGTTTATTGGATATGGCGAGTGGATTTTGGGTGGCGAAAATGCTGAATTATGTTCGCTTGATTTCGGCTTTTGTTACTCCCATTGCGCTATTTGAATGAAAGCGAATGTCCTTCGGCTTGAGGATATGGCGAGTGGATTTTGGGTGGCGAAAATGCTGAATTATGTTCGTTTGATTTCGGCTTTTGTTTCTCCCATTGCGCTATTTGAATGAAAGCGAATGTCCTTCGGCTTGGAGAATGCGCCCCAGATTTATCAAAGCATTATCGACAACGCACTATATGGGTTCACCCGGATCCCAAAGTCTGAAGGGAACGGAATTACTCTGGATGTGCTTGAGAATGGGACCGGTGGATCCAGGCAAACCATCAGTAATTGGACGTAGCTCATGCATCGACGACATCTTGATCCCAGCCAATAGCTGGGATCAACTATATGATCGAGTTGAAATTTTCTCGAAGCGTGCGATAAGTGGAGTTTGTCGATCGGTGTGGTTAAGAGGGTTTTTGTGAAATGCATAAGGTAGAATATCTCGACCATAAGGTCTCCCACAATGGACGGGAGGCGATTCCGAAAGGTCTATCAACGTTGACTGACCTAGCGTTTCCAGGGTCACTTAGAGCTATGCAGTCGGTTTTGGGAAGTTTGAACTACTACATACGATGTATCGAAGATCACGTCAGTTACGAGAGATTGAATTCTCTGCGATGATGAAGGATACCACTCAAGCGCAGATGCAACGTGGGAAGTGTGGATCGAGGATGCAACAAGATCGGACGTTTAGGCCAATGGGCCGCTTTACTACCACCATGGTCTCTCAGGGAGAAGATGAGAACTTAGGAACATCGGTGGTCAGTATTACGTCTAGATCTGAGGTTGATAAGGCATTGATCTCGATTATCCCTAAAAAGTAACCGCAACGCAAGATCTAGGCTCCGATCCACGCGACGAAGTGCTATATGCTGTCAGGTTTAATGTATCCGCACGTGTCAAGGGAGGGGGAGGTGTATACAGTGCGATCTTGTGGAAGTTGCCCGAATGGAGTGTGTTAAAGGTTAGATCAGGCTATGTCGAAGGTCTGACAGTGAACACTGCGGAATACTGTGGACTATTGTTGTGTTTGGATCTACTGGAGGACTTGGTTCTTTGACGTCTAGTGAACCTCGTGATCCGACAAGTACAACGTGAGATCGATTTTAAGGCACCAGGTCTGATACACCTATGACATAGGGCTCTGGTTCGATTGTGAACTTGGCTGGATCATTGATTTGCATGTCAAGCGGGATTGGAATGGGAGTGTCGTTAGCTTGGCAAGTGCCACGCTGCAACGACGATGTCGAGTCTGAGAAGTAGGTCCAGGATCTAGTGACTTTGAATCAATTGGGTCCAATCCTGGTAGTGAAGATCGGAGATAAAATCGCACATGTATCGGTTGTAACTACCCGATCTAATGCTAGATCAGGGCTGCAAGCAGGGTATGATCCGGACTCACTACGTGAAGAAGTGGTGAAAGAACTACGGGTCGAGCGGATACGACTAGCACAGGACGAGGAGGCGTTGATCTCTGGATTGAAGAAGTATTTGGTTGCGGAAATCAGATATCTGACCCAGGAAGAGGCTAAGGTATTGGGAGCCCCGTTACTGATCATTACTATGAATTGTATACCCTCGCTGCTAAGCTCTCACAATGGCGACGCAGAACTGTTGATCATTGAATGTCTTTTCTCCGGATATGTAATTGTGAAGGCTAGCCCCTCTGGATCTGCACAGATGATCACCGAAACGTATGAAGAATGCTTTTTCGGCCGATTTGGTGCTAGTAAGGTGATCCCGTATGATCGCTAGCGGGTTTTGTGTCTGATTTTTTCAAGTCCTTCAAACACGATCTTAGGTCAACATGCTACAATCGCTTACCGAGCTGAGGCGAATGGATCCTCAGCGCGGATGGTTCAAAGGACCACCTGAGGTCTTAAGATGTATGAGCAGGATCTGGATCAACGTAATTGGGACGAATATGCAGAACGGCCCATAATACCACAAGAGAACGGATCCGAGGTGAAATCACTTTCTACATGCTACATGGTTGGGGTCCTGGATCTACCCTTGAAGCGGTGATCCCGATAGAAAGTACTCGTAGACACAATTGAGTTCCAAGAAGGTGGCGATATCACATTCAAAAGTATTACCGACAAACTCGAGAACATGATAACCAGCGTTTGCGCCAAGCCATCGCGGATCAAACTGACACACACAACGATCTAGTGCGTCTACATCCAGTGGATGCCAGATTAAGGGTCTGGTTGTACTTGGATGAGAGCGTGAAGAATATGCGATGAAGCTTGCCCATCTATGGCATGGACAATTTCGTGTTGCCGAGAAGATTGGAGAATACGCGGTGAAGCTTGACGTAGCACGATCAGCGTATAGCATCTTTCCAGTGTTACATCTATCGAATTAAACCTGTCAGAGAGTTTCCGGATCGGCCTGTATGGAGTAGGATGCAGCTCGATTCGACTTCGATGAGACGCTCGTCCCTGGAGATAGTTGGGTCCAAGATCGGGATCCAGACGAATATGAAGTATACAAAATTTCGCATATGAGGACTGGTAAGAAGACGCGATATGGACGGATCTACAGAGCATGCTTGGTACACTGACGTCAATATGAAGATCCAACGGTTGATGAATATTCATGGACGTTGCAGGTCGAGAAACAGGATCGACATAAAATTACATATAACTTGGTGCCGAGTGAGGATCTATGTGAAGTGAATCAATACGAGTGTGAATAGGGAAGAGAATGGAAAGCGAATTCCACATCCGGAGCCATGGTCATATTTCCCCAGGGGTTATGGATCTAACGACGAATGGCGGATGTCCAGGTGCTGGAATGAAAATCTGCATGAAACAACATGGTGGAAAGCTGACGGAGACAAGAGACGTCATATTTCCCCAGGGGTTATGGATCTAACGACGAATGGCGGATGTCGAGGTGCTGGAATGAAAATCTGCATGAAACAATATGGTGGAAAGCTGACGGAGACAAGAGATGTCAAAGCGATAAGATCCAAAGGAAAACCAATGTATATTTTTGGTTAAAGGTTGTGATCAGGACAAAGTATCCTGAGGGACATCTGGGTCAATATCGCGGACGCACTGGCGGCGTATTGGGGTTCAAGGCATCCCACCTATTTAGTAAGCTTTTTTAATCGGGGCTAAATCATGTCTTTCTGGTATATTGCCATATGTTTTTCCACCAAGGTGTCATTGAGACAAAGCTCCAGTATAATGGAACATAAGATATTTAACGCTTATTTTCGTGAATGTGAAACTTTCTTGCAGACATACGCATACGTTTAAATAGAAAAGGGTAGGTCATCCAATTAATAATCGCACACAGGGACCCAACTTTTGGTAAAACAAATTCTTGTGTTTAAGAACATGTAGAACTGAATGACTGGCATATCTAACTGGACTGTGTTGGAACTAACTATCCCGAGTAGACTAACTGTCACTAAACCCATCGGTCTAGATTTATGTAACCTCTAAGAGGTCGCTTTGTACCAGCCACTGTGGGATTATGAAATCTCAGATGTATTTAGGTATGATTAATAAGAGATTCAGAAGGATGCACACCCATGTTGGCGGGAGAAGCGCCTCTTTGTAAGCTGGCCAACGAGTCTGATTTGCTTTAAATCCGGGTTACGGGACGGGTTCACGCATCGTAAGAAGTTCGTAAAAAGTCTTGGCTACATCATGAAATGTATTGATCTTAAACATATGATATAAATTATTTTTAGGGCAACTACCGCAATTCGTTTAAATATTGTTTCTTGAGTACTTCATTGTTACTTATTTGTCCGTCACCGACGCACACCCGGACGCCAATGTGATTTTCACTCTCTCCTTGTGCTGCCTGTAGTCGGAACGATTGGAGGGTTGCCACGGCACACGCTTTACTGGAATTGGAGCCACGCCGTGTACGGGGTTCGAGCCAAGCGCTAGTGCTTTGGCAGATCTCACACCGCTGAAGCGGAAGTCGTACGTCGCACAAGTAGCTATTTGGGACGCTCAGTCAACGAGCGGATTTTTTGGCAAGGCCAATATCGAGTTTACCCCTGGCGCTGTGTACGTGTTTCGCAAGTTGATGGCGTCGGATACTACGCCGATATCGCCAAAGGCATCCTCCAACACGACCGGGAAATCACCGACAATGTCTACAAGCAAACACCTCCCCAGAAGAAACGCAAGGTCGATCCAACCACGGCAAAAACGCGGGGAAAGGCCAGCATCAAACGGTCAAGTCGAGCAAGGTGGCTGCGGGTGTGGCCGGTGACCGTATCGTGAAGGATGCGGAGGGGAACGAAACTGATTCACGTTTGGAGGAGAAATGCAAGAAACACAGCGACACCAGTCGAGCCTGACGTGTGCCGTGGACAGTACAACAACAGAACCGCTCACCACCAGCATGAAAGGTATTCGATGTGTGCTTTCGTGTATATTCTTCTTCAGAGAGAGCTAGCTACGACAAGGAGTGTTAAGGCCGTAGGTAGTTCGTACACATCAAACATAAACTTGCTGATTTGTCTAACAACGGAAGCATTGTTATTCATTACGCCATCGGTTTGAACAGATGTCCAATAACGAGTTGGTGAGCTCATAGCACGAAGCAACGGCCCAGACGGTCAAATCCTTAGGCTGTGAGTAGCAACAACTACCTAGTAAGTTAGTGCGATAGTGGTCTGGTGGCGGTTTTGACGAAATGCTACTAATTAATATATTACATCCTTGAATGCATCATAAACGTGAATGTGATTTGCCAGCATTGCACTCGTTGTCGCTCCCACTACAGAATATGCGGATGTAGCAAATTTTAGCACTATTCCTTAAACCTTTAGTTGGTAGTTCGCAATGATAGCTAATCATAGTTCAATGATAGACATGTTGAACGCACTTGCGAAGATATTGGCAGGCGCGTTCTTTTACTGAAGGGGAAGGCTTACTAGGTAGGTCGTCTAGTAGTTGACCGTCCAGCTGCGCTTCCGGCGACACATCTTGACGGAGTGGCGAGGAGTCCGAAACTCGACCCTCCACCCGGGACACTTCCAAATCGG